GCAATACCAAAAAAAAAAAAAAAAACAAAAAAACAAAGGCTGGTGCCTTCCCCGACCATCAATCTCTCTTTGGGTACTTACCTTCTTGGACCCATCACTGCCTTGGATTCCAGGTCACGACAGTGTGTCCAAAAAAAAAAAAAAAAAAAAAAAAACCAGAAAGCCAATGCACAGACTTGAGGAGGAATCAGAGGGCTTTCCTCACCATGAAAGACGCCCCAAGTGGGAGCGTCTCTTGGATTCTGAGAACACGTACGTGCTGCGTGTTTACTGTTAAGCCTCAAACAACGTCTTTCAGAGTCTGGGCCTCTCAACAAATAATAATAAAGGCTGTAACATACTTGCGGTCAAGGGTGGCCCTCCCCAAGCCCAGACAGGTGAACTGGACCAATGCCCAGCCTCTCTCGGGCTCGGTGCCAACAGCGATCACGTCCCCAGCCTTTTCCTGGCAGCCCCTGAGCCCTGGGCAGGGTGCCAGCCCCCTATGGCAGAAGCCACACCCACACCGGGTCACTTAGCTCTCTAGACTTGCCTGCAAAAGGGGCACTCACATCTGCCGCCTTCCAGGATAGACAGGAAATGAGAGAAAGTCTGAAGTGGCTTGCACTGGGCCAGCTCTCAGGAAGCACTTAACAATCTGGGTCTTGGCTCTGCGGTGTTGGGGAAGAAGAGGTGGAAGAGGTGTTGGGTCTTCGGGGTTCTCTTGAAGGCTTGAGTGTGAAAGAGTAGAATTGATGAATGAGAACAAATGATAAATGTCGGCTAAAAATAAATCCACCAGTGCCAGGCGTGGTGGCACACACCTGTAATCCTAGCACTTGGGAGGCTGAGGCAGGAGGGTTGCTGTGTTTGAGGCCATCTGGTCTACATAGTCCATGGTTACCTAGATCTACAAAACTAAAACAAAACAAAACAAAATTAAAAAATACCAGTTCACTGATGAGGTTGAGTGGTCAGGGTGCTGTCACGAGGGATCCTCAAGGGGATTAGTGCCTGGCAGAATTCTCCTTGTGTCCCTCGCTTTCAGAGTCATGATTTAGTTTATATTAATAATGATGGCAGCTGCCATTTAGCGGGTGGTACCTGCTCTGCACACTACGCTGGCCGTAAGGCCTGGCCATTCTTGGAGCCAACCTCGTTCTCTCCCCATGTCAGCCCCCCAGGTGGTGATTCCTGTTTTAGAGCAGGGCAGGGGGTTTGAGGCTCAGAGAGGGTGTGCGACTTGCCAAGGCCACAGTGATAGAAGCGTAGAGCGGGCAGCTGAGGGATGCGCTGGGGTCTCTCTGTCCAGTTCTGTTGCACGGTGCTCCCTTGTTTGCCACGTTGCCAGTGTTGCCCGTGGAAGGCATGGTGTGCACAATGGCTCTTTAGACGGCGCTCGGGTCTCTCTGTCTCTGTACGGCATGTGCTGCCCCCCCCGCCCCCGGTGCTGTTTGTCTGCAGGTGGAAGTGCCAGGGCACCTGTGCCCGGTGAGATTGGCAGCACTGAGCCCCCTAGGAGAGCAGCGGGGCTGCTGCGTGCTGCCCTCCCATCTCAAGCCCACGTCCCAGCCTGCACTGTGGCTGCCACTGTTTTCCTCCAGGTATGGCGTGGCGGTGCAGGACTTCGCGGGCAGCTGGAGGAGCGGGTTGGCTTTCCTGGCTGTGATCAAGGCCATCGACCCCAGCCTGGTGGACATGAAGCAGGCCCTGGAGGAGTCTCCGCAGGAAAACCTGGAGAGGGCTTTCCGAGTGGCACACGATGCCCTGCACATCCCCAGGCTCCTGGAGCCAGAAGGTGCGGTGATTTCCTCCTTACTGTCTTCCCTTTTAATCTTTCGCTGCAGATCTACTAGCTGCTGTCCCAAGTTGGGAAATGCAGAAAAATCTAGTGAAGAAATTTTTGTTTTCTGTATCCTGAAATGTTTCTGTTGCATTTAGTTATATCTTTTAATTTAACATATAAGTGTCTTGCGTACTGGTATAATGTCCTTATTATATATTATCCTTGGTGCATAGTAGTCCCTCTGATAGGCTTACTGAAATTTACCCAGCTCTTCCATTCCTGCTGGCCATTGAGGTTGTATAAGGACCAATCACTTTTACCCTGGCACAGTGGCACATTCCTATAATCCGAGCTAGGTAGGAGGCTGAGACAGGAGGATCACTATTCAAGGCTATCCTGGGCATCTTAGTGAGACCCTGTCTCAAAATAAAAAAGGGCTGGGGATGTAGCTCTGTGGTACACTTTGATCCCGAGTCCCATCAGGGTAGGATGAGGCAGGGAATGATCGCTTTTGTAAGCACAATGCAGTGGACATCTTGCTGCAGCTCAGATTATTCCCTCACGGACCGGTGAGAGAGACAGAATCCGTCTTTAAGAGGCTGCACCTTCTGCGTGAGCTTGGCATACGTGGGGCTCCCTGCAGCAGCATGTGAGGTGTCAGTGCACCAGTGGAAGGGGCGCAGTTCCTCTGTTCTTCAGCCAGCTGGGAGACGCCAGTCACTTGCTTCACCCTCTCTGAGCCTAAATTCCCTCAAGTGGGAAAGAAAAAGAAAAAACCCTAAATGCTGTATGAGCTCCTTCCCTGCCAGGCGTCCCCTGGAAAAATGGTGTCTGTGTGTTCTGCTAACGCCTCTCTCTCTCTCCACAGACATCATGGTTGACGTGCCGGACGAGCAGTCCATCGTGACTTACGTGGCGCAGTTCCTAGAACGTTTCCCCGAGCTGGAAGCCGTACGTTTGCTTTCCTTGCCTCTCGTTCAGAAAGCGTACCTTTCCATGGCTGCTCACCAGACACAGTGGGCTTGGGTTCTGTCTGTCTTTGCGGCCAGCAGTGACAACTCCAAATTGATCTAGAGTTCCTTGCCTTGCCACATTTTGATTTCCAAATTACCCTGGGTATATATTCAGCGGGAAGGTGGGTTGGAAAGTGAGATGACCACATCCCACACAAATCTCTTCCCATATCACACTTTGTTCATATAACAGCTCATTCTCAGGAACTCATAGAGGCCCCATGACGACTATATCATTTCCAAGGGTGCCACCCCCCAGTGACCCTTGCACCAGGCTCGAGCCTTTAGGTGGCCCCCACATTTCACTCCCTACTTCAGGCACCAAGCCCTTGCAGAACAAACCACAGCTGACCCGTGGCAGAGAACATAGCCGCTTCCCAAATGAGCACCCAGAGGCAGCGCTGATCGTTCTGGTTTTATCAGGACTTGATCAGAGCTGTGCGGCAGTTTTATCTGGTTGCATTTCTCTGGTTTCACTTGCTTTGAGGATCAGGTCAGTCTGCCGTCTCTACCAGTGCATTAGAAGCCAGGCCTGCAGCACCTGCAAGATCATTCTTTGCTTTTCAGCCCTGCTCAGTGTGGGACCATTAGCCAATGGCAAGATTTGATTCTGTGTTTGCAGCCTTTGTGGCCTCAGTCTCTCACACCAGCCCAGCGGCATTTGGCTGCTTTTGCCCTGTCTGAGGTGGATTAATTCGCCCTGGTCCACAGTGGCAGTGGCTCATGGGGCGAAATAGCTGAGCATTCTGTCCACTGAAGAAGGCTGCATCTTCTCTAGAGTCTAATGCTTTGAGATTTTTTTTCACCCGCCCTCCCTTCCCCTCCCCTCTCTCTTTCTTGTTCACTGCTGGATCGAACCCAGGGCCTCATACATTGCACAAGTGTTCAACATGCTATATCTTTTCATCTGCAGTGCTTTCAAAGCGTAGTGTTTTATGTGTGTATTTACCTGCCATTTTCACATTTCAGCAGGAACAGAACTGTTCTGTGACCGTTCACATCTTTACCAGCACACTTTGCTTTAGTTTTAAAGTGGCGTTTCTGTTCTGAGAGGGGAAGTCGACTATCCTTAAAGGTTGGCCTTCCTCTTTCATGTCGCCATGTGTTTCTCTGCAGGAAGAGTTCATGGATCCAGATAAAGAAGTTCCCATCGAGTCCACCTTTGTCCGCATCCGAGAAACTCCTCCTGAGCAGGAGAGCAAGGTCCTCCTCCTGACGCAGAATGGGGAGCGAACCTACACCGTGAACCATGAAACCAGCCACCCGCCCCCTGCCAAAGTCTTCGTCTGCGACCGGCCCGAGGGCGCACAGGGCCCGGGCCCTGCTGGCCTGCCCAGCAGCGGGCTGTCAGACAGCTCTGCTGAGTTTGTGTACCAGATCATCGACCAGGTCCTTCAGACCGGTGCCACCAGTGAGCCTGCTCCCGAAGCCTCCGTCTTGTCCATCAGGAGGGACAGCCGCAGGCCCAGCTTGCCGCCCACCAAGAAAACCGTCCACTTTGAAGATGGCACCTACAAGGACCCCTCCGGCAGCCAGGAGCCTTTCTACAGCCCAGACTTCCACTTTGAAGGGAGCCCCAGGCCTGCGAGGGAGCTGCTGAAGCAGGGCTGGCGTGCCTCGGTGGAGGACGACACGGAGGAAGGGAAGCCGGAAGAAGCAGCCTCACTGATCCCAGAGGCCGCCTCCAGTGAGGTCCCTGGCACCTATGAATTAGTGAGTCCTGTGCAGCCACCCCAGGATTCTTCCTCCTTTAATGGAGCCTTAGAGGGTCCCGCCAGCCGCGGGGAAGAAAGTCCTACTCTTCTGCCCCCTGGGGTAAATACTGTCCTGGCCAACTCCATGGAGATCAAAGTTAAGCTGCAGACTGCAGAACCGCTGGGGAACGAAGACTGTCTGGAAGGTGTCCCATCGCACGCTGCGAAGTTCATCAGCGATGTGTTAGACTTTGCTTCTTATAGCCAAGGTGAGGCTCCTTCTGGCGAACATGCAGCTGGGGAGGACGGGGAGGCGGCCTCTGGGAACTGTGTCCAGGAGCCACGAGTGGGGTGTGACAGACACGAGCCCCCCACAGGCTCTGGACAAGAATCTCCAAGCTATTCTTCATCCCTGAAAGAGACACCTGTGGATAGAAAGCCAGCGACACTTGTGTGTGAAAAGGCCAAGAGAAAGTCCCCCCGGCATCGCAGTGAGGACGAGGAGGAAGCCAGCGGCCCCCCAGGGCTTGCTGAAGAATTGTCCTGCAGCTCCCTGAGGACCAGCATCAGCTTAGAGACCCTGGGCAGTCCCAGTGAGGAAGGCCTGGATTTCAAGCCCTCACCTCCCCTCTCCAAGATTTCTGTCATTCCCCACGACCTCTTCTATTTCCCACACTACGAGGTGCCCCTTGCTGCAGTTTTAGAGGTGTATTCGGAAGGCACAGAGGACGTGAGGGACAAGGACTGTCTGCCTGACCTGGACCCTGGAGAGGATGCCGAAGGCTCCTGGAGCAGGTGCAGCTTCTCAGCCCTGGGTGAGGATCTCCCCAGAGCCAGCAGCCAGGAGCTGTCTCCCGACAGGCTCATCACAGTGGCCACGCCAGCCTCAGAAGCCGCTCCCCCAGCCCTGCATGAGAACCAGCAGCCAGGGGAGACCAAAGGCAGCGAGCCTGCAGAGAGCCATCAGGTACTGCTCGGGGTTCGGAGCCCCTGGGACCTGCTGGAGGGTCTGCTTTTCTGAAGCTCAACCTCTCCACAAGGTTGGGGTGCGGAGCATCCCCCACAGTGCCCATGGTGCAGTTCAGAGAGGCCCTTCTGGGTGGCCCAGGCAGGGGCAGGGTTGGCACCTGAGAGGGAGCCCCCCTGAAACTTTGCACCCTGGACTCCTTGCTGGACTTAACCCAGTCGTGGCCCCATTCAGTGTAGTGGGAGGGTCACGTGAGATCGAGGGTGAGGGTCTCCAGCGGCAGGAACAGGGATCCTTTGGAACCAGCAGTGGTAGCCAGTATCTAGCACACATCAGTGAGCACTTGTGCTCATCTCCTGCGGCCGCTGGGGAGATGGGAGCGCCCAGCTTGGCCTCCAGCCGTGACTCTTCAAAGCCTTTGACACATGGGGCACCGACCTTTGGCACCTGGCGTGTAAAGGTGAAGGGGCAGCGCTCACTCTTGAGCTTGAGCAGCCGGACACAGACCTGTCGGCCACTGCTGGCCTCGCGTCACTGGGCCCAGCAGCTCCGGAGCAAGCAGGGAGCAGGTGTGAAGGACCCGGCCCGATTCCCAAAGGCAGTGGGTGGAGGCAGCAAATTGAGGGAAGGGAGGTGGCCCCTGTGGCTGCCTTGGGAATAGAGCTCCCCGCTTCAACCTTGAGGTCCAGGAAGATCCCAGGCCACACTGGCTGTGCCCTGCCGGGTAGGGTGCAGACGGAGCCAGCCCGGAAGGAGAGTACGGCCCCTGCGCCTCGGTGCAGCCTAGTGGACAGTAGTGTGTGCAGGATCGCCAGGAAGATTTCCCCTGCGCCACTCAGCGCTCCAGACGCCGAGTGCCCAGGAGCCGCAGGACGAGAGAGGGGCCCCAGTCACAGAGGTGGAGCCCTGCAAAGGGGGATGGGGGCTGCTGGGAGATAGCACCCCAACCCAGAAAACTGGGGGTGAGGGGAGTGTGGAGCTGTGTGGGGAGTTCTGCGTGGAGACCGGTCCACTGGTGGAGGTGTGACCAGCAGTCCCAGATGGCTTGGGCCCCCTCACGCATCCCTTCTCTCTAACCCAGCCCAGCCCTTCTACAGCCCAGAAAGCCTGCAACAGAGTCTCATGTGACCGCTCCTCTGCCTCTGTCTCCAGGATCGAGCCCAAGCTCCCTAGCGTGACCTTTGAGACTCTTCCCTCTCCAGCCTGGCCTCCCTCGCTCAGGCCTCCTCCTGGCTCCCAGATACCCGACTCTGGCTTTGGTCCGGGTGCCCCCACCTTTCAAAGCCCTGCACAAAGGGCACCTCCTCCCAGGATCCCTCCAAGCTCTGTCCAGGGAGGACTGTGGCTCAGTACCCAAGTACACCTCCTTGGGTGAGCTTACTGGGTCTGCACAGGGTTTGCTTTTCTCTCCCAGGAGGAAGTGGACATTTGTGGAGTAATCTGTGGACGCTAGACACCAGGATGGCCCCTGGCGGTGCCTGCAGCCCCTTGCCCTGCAGTGCTTCCTGCGGAGTGTGTAAAAGGCCCACCAGGGTTAGAAATGGCCTCTCAGTAGGTCAGGCCTTAATATCCCCAAGCTGGGCTGCGGGGACAACTGGGGAGGTGCTCTGCATCATTATGGCCCAAGAAACTCTTGGAGGACTAAAAGCGGGGTGCAGAGTGGATGGTGCATTGCATTCCTGCTGTGCTGGCACAGGGGCGGGGTTGTGGCAGCCCTGGGTTGGAATCTTGGCGGTCAGGAGAGATCCCACCCTGCACTGGTCTCGCTGGTGCCACCCCACCTCCTGCACCTGGCCCGCCTCCCCCAGGTCCAAGGGCAGGGCTCACTGACCTACTGCCTCTGATGTACCCATCTGCAGCTTGCCTCCCTCCTTTAAGAAAAAAATAAAAAACATGTTTCTAAGCCAAGGGCACCAGAAAATGACGTTTATCTTCTAGTGTTTTTTTTTTTTTTTTTTTTTAAAGTCCTCAGCCAGGTGTGGTGGCACCTGCCTTTGTAATCCCAGCATGCTGAGAGGCTGAGGGAGGAGGGTTCCAAGTTTGAGCCCAGCATGGGCACCTTAGTAACTTCACAAGACCCTGTCTCAAAAAACAAAAAGGGCTGGGATGTAGCTCAGTGTGACGCCCCCGAGTGCAATCTTCAATGGAGATAGCCCCACAATTCTCGCGCTTCTGGGTGTCACTGGGTTGTCGCCGGTGGTTTCCATGTGTCTGGTGTGACCGTGGTCGGAGAATCCTCTTCACTGACTAAACGCTAGGGATTCGGCCCTATGACCAAAGTGTCTCCCCCAAACCGTGCACTGCTTGTGTGTGTGCCTGTCCATGTTCACGGGGACTCCTGGCTGCGGGGACTCGTTCTGCCTGAGCAGATGCTGGCTGTGCAAGGAATCGGCCGCTCTTGCCTGTAAAGGATGTCCTCATTGTGACTTCCTGTGCTCCCGTGGAAGAGGTTGACAACTGTCGTACCCACTTAATAGACAAGGAAAGCGAGGCTGAGAGAGAGAAAGGCGGTCACTCCGGGCCAAGGAACTGACTCAGCCAGGATGTAAAACCAGAGCTTCCTAACTCCAAAACCTGTATTTTCCTTCCACCGGTTTGTAGCCTTTAACTTGGACTTGAAGAGCAGGAGCTGGGGTGGCTCCCCTCCTGGCAGGCTTTGCGGGCAGGGGATCCTTGGAGGCAGAGTTGGAGGCTGTACGTGGGTCTCAGTGGAGCACCCTAGGCAGTGTCACCTACTCTGGCAGAAAATTCAGCTTGTCTTTGCCTGTTTTGTCTTTCAGTCCCAAGAATTCCCAGACTCAGAGAACGCAGCAAACTCATTAGAAGAAAAGGTAATGGAAGAATCAACCAGCAGTAAAAAAAAGGAGAAAAGAAAACATGTGGACCATGTAGACAATTCCTTATACAGAGCACCCGGGATGGTTCAGTCCTCCGATGACATAGGAGACGTGGACGACTACGCGGTCCCTTCCAGGTATTTTAGTGATGTCTTCCCACCCTAGAGGTGGAGCCAGAGTCACTCTGACCTCATTCCATTTGGAGTTTCTGATGAGACGAGGTACAGGGGCGGGGTGGGACAGGGTGGGGGATACAGAGTCACACAAAACCCTCACTCTCTGCACCCGGGCGCCCTCACCCCAGCCTCGTGGTTACCAGCCTGCTCATGAGGGGCAGAGCTGGAGGTCTGTGGGCCTCAGAGTTGAAACTCGCAGTGAGCAGCTGTGTGGCTGAGCCTCGGGAGGAGGACAGAAGCAGCGCCTGCCAGGAGAGCTGCCCACGCCGAGTCCTTGGGGATGCAGAGGCTCCCTGGCCCCCCAGGTGTCATGTTCTCTAACTGAAAAGCGCCCTTTGGAGGGCGGAGGGCGCCTCACTCTTCTCTGCCCCTTTTTTGCAGCAAGCTCTCTTTTTGTGTTATGCGCTAATTAATATGAGACTTGTGGTAGGTTTGAATCCCCACCTTGGATCTTTCAGCCTTGGTCCCAGAGCCCAAGAGGCCACAGAGTGGACCTTGAGGAAGCAAGGCCTCTCTGCCAGGGTTCCCCTGTGGGCAGCAAAACAGGTCCTGATGCTTCCACCTCCACCAGCACCATTAGCTTTCCACAGTCGGTGGGGTGGGAAAGATGATCCATTTTACAGAAGAGGAAAACTGACCCGAGCTGTGAGTCCTTGGCTGGCATTGCCAACTAACTGGCCAGGAAGGATGCTAGCCCAGGCCATGTTGGCCTCCATCCTGGGTTTCCAGAGCAGTGGCACATTCCACATCAGCCTCAAAGATTTGGTGTGGAAATTAGCGTCCTCGTGTGTGAGAAGAAGAGCTGGTGCACCCCGGGGCTAGACAAGCAGAGAGCAGACTCGTGAACAGGAAGGCCTCCGGGACAGGGACAGGGAGTGAGGGTCGGTCTGTCTCTGTATCCAGTTTAGTGTTTGCAAGCGCATTCCTGCGCAGTGCGCACATTGCGCGAAGGCTGTCATTTCTGTCCCTGAGTCTGAAGTTGGCACTTGTCTGAATCCGTATGTGGAAGAGTTGGGTTAGGGGGAACCGTACATCTGAACCTCCAGGAGCTCTAGGTGGCACCAATTCAAAACATGTCTTTGTTTTTCAGGACTAGTCACAGTGACTCCAGCATTTACATTCGACGTCATAGTAATAGATCTTTGGAGTCGGTTAGTATGTGAATTTCTTCCTCCATTCAGCCCCTGCTAATCAATTCCTTTGCATCCTTCCTCCTCCCTACCTAGAGCTTTGAAATTACTGAGGTGCAACAACTATACTTTGGGATAGAAGACAAACACATTGAAACTTTGTCGTTAATCACAATTCAATTGGATGTCCGATTAGGGATGTAAATAAAGTGATGATTTTAAAGTCCAAAGGCCTCTTTGTTATAAGAATGCATCCAAGAACCCTCCCTTAACCCTCCCCTCCATGCCCCAGCACACATATCCAGAAGAATCACATAGGGTAGGGGCACCACATAGAGCATCCTCTAGACATTTGCAAGCCCCTAGTCCCAGATGTGCCTGGCCCCGCATCACACCCGCATAACGGGGTTATAGAAGGTGGGTGGCCCCTCTGGTCACCAGTTGGGGGTGGGTGGAGGAATGGCTGTTGTTTAATTTTGGGAAGTATGTGTTTACAGTGTCAAGAAAAGCATGGCATGCTCTCGGCTTTGTGTGTTAAAAATCATCTTATTTTCTGTTTCAGAGATTTCATCTTTACTAATTGGGTGGCGGGGTTTTGTTTATAAATTTCACTGTAGGACCATATTAGCTTTGTTCAGTTGAGGAATGCAGCAGATCTGGATGAAAGAAGAAACCGAATGTTAACCAGGTCGGTAGCTTTGTTCTGCTTGAAGTTGTGTGGGGTTTCAACACTTTGTAACATAGCCTACCTTCTGGAAGTGATTGTTTTTCACCTGTGCTTTGTTGATCACGGTTTTAATACCTTGGGAGAATACAGGGAAATACCTGTTCTTAAGAGAACGAATAGAAATCCAATGTGGTGGGAGGGGAAAGTGGGTATTAACTAGCATTGGCTGGTAGAGCACAGTTCAGAAGATGAGTCCGTGTGTAGATGGATCTGGCTGTGAGCCCTCAGCTGCATGTAAATAGAGCAGTGGCAGGAGAGAGTTACCCAAGGTCCAGCCAGGCCACAGAGGGAGGGTCTTGTGATGCCGGGTATGTCCTAGGATCTGGTAGCACCTGACAACCGTGTCCATTCTGTCGCCACTGCAGGTACAATACTCAGAAGCTCATTGAGCTGATTTTACAGTTTTATGGCATCAGAGCAGACATGAAGAGGGAATGCAAACATGCCGGGATGTCTATGAAAGTATTTCCTACTGCTGAGTGAGACGGGCTAGTCTGGTGCTGGCTTGCTATAAAACAGCCCATTTAGAACATGGAAAACCAGGAAAATTTCTCAGATTCTGAGATGTCCCCATCCCACTTAAAGTCATGGAATTGCTTAATTTTATTGCCTTTTTCCCTCCGTGGATGTTGATTGGCTGGGAAGGATTCGGATCACTGGAATTGGAAACTTCTGTCGGAATTTTGCATAACCCATAAGTGTATGGGCCTTAGAATGCACTCCTTTGGCTCCTAAAAGAGAAAGCAAAATTTAAGCTTTCCTTCCCAGCCTCTAATGGCAGTACTAATTCCACTGAGATGTCAGTCAAGCTGAACATAAGAAAATAATACTTTTCGCTCTTATGAGATAGAGACATTGAAAGTAGACACTGCAAAATTGACAAATGTAGATGTGTTTTCTACATCGGGTATTTGTCATTTTTGAAACAAAGAAAAAACACGCATATTTTACTTTTTTTCTGTAGACAGTTTTAAGAAAGAGAAATTCTGCTGATCAGCTGTTACCAGCACAGGAATCATTTGATTCGTAGATGGCACAGATGTTTAAGCCAGCCCACCCTTCACCTGCTAGGGGATAGCTCGAGTGATGCAGTTTTAGCTTCTCCTCATCTCCACCCCAGACTCAGAAGCGGCCCTAGGGCTCAGACGCCCAAGCTTCCCTCCCCCAGCCAGCCCTCTCCCAGCAGCCTCAGGCCTTACCCTTGTGCTGTGCTCCTCGGCACCTTTCTGCCAGCTACCTGCTGTCCACCAGGTGAAAGCAAACTGTTGTTTTAAGCCCTGCCTCTGGTGAAGTAAAAGAAAGATACACTTAACCAAAATCAGAGGTCATAGTTCCCTGAAAGGCAGTATTCCAAAGCCAAAAACAAAACTTGGAGGTATCTTTCTGTATTTATTTCTGAGGGCTGTTTTGAAATTATCTGTCATCAGGCCACTCTCTGTTCCTGTAGATGGCTTACGAAGTCCCCTCCCTGACTTACGAATAACTGGGAGCAGTCAGCCTGTGACTCCTCACTGGTATAAAGTCCTGGAGACCTGGGTCGTGTGCCAGCTCTGTCACAAAGTAATTGTGTGGCCTGGCGCAAGTCATAGTGCCATGAGCTTAAGTTTGCCTGTCTGTGACATGGGGCTGACAGCTCCTGTGTGACGCCATACAGATAAACTGGGTATATGTGAAAGCGCTGCGGCTCACCTGGGTGGCTGACCCCTTCCTTGGGCCCATGCACACACAATGCCAGGCCTCCCTGGACATGTCAGGGGCCCTCCCCTGTCCTGGCAGAGGGTGAGGGTGGAGTACAGGCTGCCACTTTGTACCGCACCGAGTATGGCTGTCTTGGTTACTTTTCTCATTGCTGAAACAAAATACCCAATACCCACAGGTTAAAGGAGAAAGATTTATTTCAGCTCACAGTTCATACAGGTTTCAGTCCATAGTCCTGGCTGGCTCCACAGCAGGGTGGTATGGCAGAAGGGCCTTATAGAGGAGAAACAGTCCATTGCAGGGCAGGCAGGCAGGCAGCAGCAGCAGCAGCAGGCTACCTTTTATCCCCTCAGGCTACCCACCTTTGGAATGGTGCCACCCACACCTATAGTGGGCCTTCCCATTGTCCACACCCAGAACTATGCTAAACCAATCAGTGGACTAATTTAGTAATCACACACCCATAATCCCAGTGTCACACACCCTAGATCCAGCCACCTCCAAAAAGCCCCACCTATGACCATATGAGGTTTTGGGGGAACATCTGTATACAAACTATAGCAGTGGCCCACTCTCCTGGGGACCCCCGCAAGTAACTGCCATCCTATCTTTCCTCCTGTAGGAAGCCCAGCAGCTCTGGAGAAGCTGAGTCCCTGGGGACCCAGAGCCCACAGAGCGACTCCCTGACGCAGCTGGTCCAGCAGCCGGACATGATGTATTTTATCCTCTTCCTCTGGCTCCTGGTCTACTGTCTGCTGCTCTTCCCACAGCTGGATGTCACCAGGCTCTGATGCGTGTATCTGCAGAATAAAAAAGACAGGACCCCGACCAGGAGTGGGGTCTCTTCAGTTCATTTTAATTTTGGTTCAGGATCGGGCCACTTCTGCAGAGAGTGGAAGACCTCCTAGGAGATGTAGGCCCCTACGCTGTTTTGTTCTTTCTTGTATTTCCTCTTCCTTCCATAAGCCCCAAGAGCATGCTTTCCTCTCTAGCTATGTGCTCAGAACTCAGGTTTGTGGCTGAATCTTTAGGTGGGTTTTTCCTGTGTGCCTTGCTTAGTTAGATGGTAAGCATCGATACTCGTAGCCAAAACCTGGGGCATAGCTCGTGGACTTGCAGATTTTTAAGGAAGGTCCTGGATGAACTTGTGCTAAGGACCTCTCAGATGAGGGTCCGTTTGGTGAGAAAGCACCGGTGCCTCAGGCTGAGTCCCCACCGGGACGAAAACTGCCTTATTTTCCTCCAGGTGGGGGTGTTTGTGTGTACAAGGACAAGGGGTCCACAGCCCTGTTGCAGTCTGGTAAAACCTAGCAGCATAAAGCCCACGGCTCCCAGCAAGCACATTTAGGAAAGGAGCATCCAGCAGAGAGAGCAAAGGCTTTGTTGCTAGCCACAGCACCTTCGCTTTTGGGGAAGGGTGGCTGGGGCAGGGAGATGCATTTTTAATTTGCTTTTGCATTGATTGGATCGAGGTAGAGCTGTGATTTGCAAACCTTCTCTACTCAAGGGACGCTGCTGTCAAATGAAACCTGAGATGGGCCAGTCTAGACGATGCATTAAAAGCAGAAGTCTGGCTGGCTGGGGCCGGTCCTGAGACACCACTCCTCTCCCATTTTGCGGAGCTCCTGTGCAGAACCTCAAGGTCCCGCAGGGCCCTGCAAAAGGCCTGAGCAGCAGCAGAAGGAGCGAGGCTGAGAATGAGCCCCCACCGAAGCCAGAGCCAGCGGGGGTCCTGCAGGCTGGCGCTCAAGAGAGCTTTGTGCACAGCAGCCCCGGGGTGCCCCAAGCACCCGCCAGCATCCTTTGCTTTAGTCCCGATGGGTTTCTTGAAAAGGCTTTCTGGGCAGACCAAAGGCATCTCTCCCGCCTTCCCATCTTCCTGCTGAGACTCAGGTCAGTGAAGACTGTGTGTTCCTCCCTGCTCTTCCCTCAGCTGCATGGATTAGGCACCCTGTGACATTGTACACTTGTTAGGAAGGGCCTCAGGGATCATCTTGTCCAGTCAAACCCAGGGTGGCAAAGCGGGCTGACCAAGGTCACAGTGACTTCCACTAGCACCCAAGCCACCTGATGCCTGGTCCAGAGCTGCCATGTTCAAAGGGAGACTTTTATCCCACCCGTAAATGTCCCCCGAAGTGATAAATTACCTAGATAAAACATCCTCATTCAAACACAACCAGTGTCTTTTGGACCATCTATCATTGTTTTGCTCTCGTACTTTTTCCACAAGGAAGTTTCCTTTACCTTCAAGCCTATGCCCTGCTCTTTCTGAAATATTCTTGGCAGGAAAGGAAAGAATTCCTTCCTGGCAAGCCGATTTCAGACAGTGGGTTTCAAGCATACAGGCTTCCAGCATGACTAAAACAATCTACATAGCACATCTGAGTCTGCGACAGCCAGAATCTGACCTTTAAGCCATCCGATTGTAGTCTGCCTCCCCTCCCTGAGAGAATTGCATCCTTCCAAGGAGAAAGCTATTGAGAGCTTGGAGTGATTCTCGAAGGCCAGGAGCTGCATAGAAAATGAGCTAATTAATGAGCTCCCTGGTATCATCAAAAGCTCAAAGGTACAGATAATAAAGATTATGTGATATTTTATAGCCCTGTGCACCATGCAGTCCTTGCCCAAATTAGATGCCCAGGAAGAGCTGACCCAAGTCTGAATCATTTCACTTTAGGGATCTAGACCTTGTTCAGAGAAATCTCTGCAGACTTCTTCTCTCACCTATTACAACTTGTGATGTTCTTTAAAACAGCTGCTGGCAAGATGCCTGATAGGCATTTGGTTCCAGTTGGCAGTAAACTGGCTTTTTTGAAAGAAAAAAAAAATCTCATTTGAATATAGGCTTATATGGAAGTTGAATATAGGGGGCTGCTGGAAAAACCAGTCAATTGCTTTTTTTTTTTTTTTTTTAAAGAAAAACTACTGTAAACCCAGCATGGTGGCCTACACCTGTAATCCCAGCACTTGGGAGGCTGGGGTGGGAGGATTGTGAGTTCAGGGCCAGCCGGGGCTACATAATTAGACTGTTTTGAAAATAAACCAAAATTAATAAATACTGTAAGGTTTTTAGTGAGAACTAATAGTCCCCCAAGTCTCACTCCCACTTTCATCATTTTCAGCTGTTCCTTCTGATACTTACATTTGCATTTCTACATCACATGCTCATGCTTTATTTTTTAATTAGCTTAGAAGCATCTACTGGCTGGCTAATCCCATAAGGGAGGTTTCACCCCCACATTTGGGATGTCTGTCCCTATTCATTGCTGACACTGCCTTGGGCCTATTAGCCCCCTTCACTCCTGTCTTTTCATAGCAAAATGTCCCCTTAATTTGTGATCTCTTCCTCTCTCTTTCCCTCTCTCCTCTCCTCTCCCTCCCTCAACATGTTCTTTAGTAGCCTAAGAAGGTGAATATGGGAAGGAAATACCGTGATTACATGACTGAAAATGTCTTTGCTCTGCCCTTACCCCCGTGCGGCTGAGCATAGACCGGCAGGTGCCAAGCAACATGCCCCTGTGGTTGCTGAGCTTGCTGATGCCCTTCTGATTCCCGCGGCTTGGGTGTTTGCCTCCTCCCTGGGAACATTTAAGATCCCTTTACTCTCGGTGTTCTCCACTGTGGTGATGGTGTCCTGTCCTGCAGCTGTACCTTGTGGGGGGCCCTCGTGGGAAGCTTCTTAATTTTCTTGTTACCTTCTTCCATTCTGGACCACCCACTTTTTTATTTCTCATCTCATTTTTAATCTGCTTTGGGGAATATTTTTTCTGTGTTGTCTTCCCCGTATGCAGGTTTTATCCAGTTGTTCCTTTCTGGAGCTTTCCTTTGATGTTCAATGGTTTTGTTTCATAGCGTCCTGTTCTTGATTCAGGGGTGCAGCTCTTACCCCTGCAGAGGTTAATGGGAGTGTTTGGGGAAGTTCTTTGCTGCATCTGCTCCTGCCTTGTTTCCCCTAAGCCTCCTTTCTGTTGATTGGTCTCAGTTTCTGTCTTTCCTGTATGCTTTCCTCCAGAGGCTAGTGATGCTGTGGGCCTGTTTGTTTGTGATGTATCAAAAAGCTGTGTGTCACCACACAGGTGTAGGTCACCCGTACGTAGGTCACCAGGTGGTCTGGACTCAGAGAGAACCCTACCTGTCAGTACTTGCACACCTTTTCTTTGAGGCTTATTCCATGTCTTCAGAGAGCTCCCCAGTGCTCTCTGCCTGGGAAAGGGAGACACACACCAGGCTCCTCTTAGCCTATGCAGTACAGTTTGAAAAAAGGTTCCCTCTAGGCAGAAGCCACTCATGAACACTTGGCTTGACTGCTGGAGGGTGCCTTTTGCCTGTTTCTCTGGGCATCTGCAGTCCTAGGTAGGGCAAAGCTCGAGGAGCAGCACAAAGGCTAGATTTTCACTCTCACTTGCTGCCTTGGCTAGATACCTTGTGCAGTGCATGGACCCTGGGGCTGTACTCAGAGACCGAGTCCACCTGCCCAGTGTTGTCTGTGGAGCAGGCAGCCTCACCACCAGCCAGCATCTGGTCTCTCGTCAAGCTGCCCCCGCCTTTGCTATGTCTGGTAACCCCAGTCGGAGCTTTTCGTTCTGCATGGGAGAGGAACAGCGCAGTCGCTGGCTGCATCGGGGCAGGAGGCTGAGAGTCAACAGATGCCTTGTCTTCAGCCTGGGCCCCACCCTCCCTTGGATGCCACAGCGCCCCCTGTGGTATCAGGGTCCCTCCCCGTGCACTCCGCCATCAGCTTTGCTCCTGCCGTACATGCTTGGGGTCTGTTGCTGCTGTTGCCTTCTATCCCTGTGTCTTCATGGCTGTGTAACTTTTATTCCTTTGTTCTTCTTTCCATGGTGTTTCTTGGTAGAATAAATGAGGCCAGGTACCATCTTGTTCCATGAATCCTTCGAATGTTCTTGCTGGTGAATTTGGGGCTCGCCGCTCTGCTGACTTGTTTGTGAACCTGTCCAGCACATTTGTGCTGTTGAGCTGGGATGTGTCCAGCGCTTTTGCATAACGCTGCACCCAGTGCAGGAGACGTTACCTAGTGCGAGTCAGCTCTGCTTGGAGGCCAGGATCAAGTGGTTCTTTCTTCTTCCTACCGCCTGGTTTTGCCTCTCACCACCCCTAGTAAATGAGCCTGCAGCAGCCCCTCTATTTAGGAAGCAGGTGGCCCTTACTGGTGTTGGGCAGCAAACAGGGAGGCTGTCTGTGGGTTGGGGTTTGGATCTCATAGAAGATTCCCTTATAGAAGTTTGTGTCTTGCCATAATTGGGGATTACAGGTTGTCAGGGGCTGCTGGGCCACACCTGACCTTTATGGGGAGGTGTGTGCCCGCTAGGGCTGGGGACCAGGAAGGATATCCCCGCTGTCCTATGAACAGCCCCCTGCCCTGCCCCCAGGCACGCACTTCTCCATCCCCAGCTTCAGCATAGCGCCCCAGCCCTCTTCCCCATGCAGCAGTGCCCTGCTCTTTTCAAAATGGCAGAAGGCTGAGAAGACAAGCATTCAGGGCTGCCCGCACAGAGACCTCCATAAGTCATAGGTTGTTCCAGCAGCCACAGAGGTCATGTGAGGGTCTGGCACCTTCCCCAAGAGATGAGGAGGCTGAGGTGGGAGGATCCCTTGAGCTCCTGAGTTGGAGACCAGTCTGGGCAACATAGCAAAACCCCGATCTCGAAAAAAGGACAAAGACAGTGAGAAACCAAAGCTGAGAAAGCGGAAACGCCTCATCACCCTGCTAGCTAGTAACTTTGGAATGGTCAACTCCATTCCCGGTCTATTTTCTACAAAACTCCAGCCTTCATCCAGCCTCTTTATCAGGCACTTGGGACATTGTGGACCTCGTCTCCCTCAGAAATGAGGGTACTGGCTTAGAAAAGCTGTCCCGTGAGTGTCCGCAGAAGCCATGGCTTTCTCAGTGAGGAAGTGCGCTCTTCCTGTGGGTATGTTGTTGGCATGCCATCGGATGGCCTGGACTCTTTCACACAAGCTCAGTTTTCCCTCCATCCCTAGGAGAGTTGTGAGACCTGGCCTCGCTTTCCTTCCTGCGTGGAGACGCCCTTCCTGGGGTCTGCCACAGGACCCACCTGGCCACGTGTGTGGTGCTCCGGCCCCATGTCTAGGAAGTGGGCTGTGCTAGAGCTTCAGCTTTGCTGCAGAGCCTTCTCAGAGCCTTTTCTGTGACATCTTTGCCAGGAATCGAGCCCCACATCTCGCAGGCCCAGACATGTTGTCTGTCTTCTCCAGCATTGCATCATCGCTGCTGACATGGTGTTTGGGGACCATGGAACATCTCGGGCCTGCAGCCGCCATCTGCTGCTGCCTTTGCATAGCAGCTGGTGAAGGGGCCGCTCTCCTGAGAAGGGCAGGACCTGGGCAAAAGCTGAGGGGCAGTGCTGCTGTTACTGTCTCGTTTAGTTGCCACAAAGCTTTCCCCTTGTTAGCCAGTGCAACAGAGCCAGGCGTGATCATGGGACACCTTTGCCACTTGGGAGCTGGCTGGACCTTTCATCAGGCATTCCTCAAGGGATGAGAGCCAGCAGCTCGAGGAGGTGAGCCCACTGCCTGAGGGTCGTGGGCTTCGCCTGAGTTCCGTGTTGGCTCTCCCGTTGCCATCCACAAGGATGCCTGTGCCCCAAGCCTCCACAAGAGCACTCAGCCCTCTGCACTTCGATGGGTACACGCCCCACAGTGACCTTGGCCTTGTCGTTTCTCACTCCTTGTGTGCAGGAGAGGGCTTGCGGTGAGCTGGGTCAGGTAGGGGCACGGCCCTGGAAACCCGGAGCTCCTGGTTCTCAGAGACTTGGTGAGGTTAGCAGAGCTCCTGAGCTAACTCTTCCAGGGTTGCCAGACCCTGCAGTGCCAGGAGGACAGACTTGGTTGTGTCTGGCGCTTTGTTCTGAGAACCTTGATGAAAACCTATCAGGCAAGCAGTTCTTCCCAGCCAGGGCTGGACCAGCAACATGCCAGGAACCATTCTTGCCTGTGGGAAATAGACAACCAGTGTTTTGTGCTCTTGACCAAGACTTACTAAATATACACAAGACTCACAGTCCGTGGCTCCTGTCCCACTGCTAACTTGTTTGAAGTCCCGACACTCAGATGTGACATCTAACAGCGTCCGGCAGAGTGCTCCATAAATGAGCCCTTTTATTTGTTTTTTAACCAGTCCCTCCCCTCTTCCTTGGGAGGTACTATGGGATGGAGAAACAGGGCAGGTGTGAGAGTCCCAGCTCTGTCACCTGACATCCAGGTGATCTTGGGCAGATTAACCTCACTGAGCTTGACAATGAGGACCCTCAGCCCTTATTTGTCCATTGAGCAACACCTGCCTTATGAGCTTACTGTGAAGTTGTAGGCTGCTTAGTAGCCTCGTGTTGTGCATTTCCCTCCTCTCCAAGCACGGAATATACCTCCTTTCCCCACGTTGCCCTTACCATGGCTTCTGCCAGCCTCTGTCATGTACCACCTTTTTGCCAATTGCCGTGTCTCCACCGGAACACTTCTTGCAAGAGGAAGTTGAAGTCACTGTATGCACTCATGAACTCACTTGACCCTTACAACAATCTTCTGGGAGGAAATAAAAGCCCGACACTGAAAGATAACAAGGCCATAGCCTAGAACTAGTAAGTGGCAGAACCTGGAATATAGGCCTTATTTCCTGATGTTGATTTCCTTCTAAACTTAACCACTTAGAAAATGAAGTGATACCCTAGGAGCATCTGATTCTTGGTGACCTTGGGCTAGTTGGAGACTTACGAGTTGGGGTCCCTGCTGGGAAGGAGGCAAAGGTCATGAGTAACATTGCATCCCCTTCTTTGCATCCTTCTCCCATCCGTCTCCCTCTTCCCAGCCTGTGCACACTGACTCCCATCCCCATATCAAAACTGCTTGGCTTTCTCCTTCTTGAG